TCACTATTTAAGTCTTTCCACAAGGCACGGGACTTTATTTATGCATATGGTAATCAGGCTCGCTACTTGCTACATGCATTGAAATATCTTTGAACAAAGATATACTTCCATGATACTATATTGTCATGAGCAATGGTTTTTGTAATGATATGAATAATATTTAGTAAAAAAATCATACGATACATGAAACAAGATTTTTTTTGGGTACAAAGATTTTTACATTTTAAAATATACAAAAACAATAGCAGTAAAAAGAAAACCTTATTCTGAGATCACGATTTACAATCAGGCTCAAGTTTAAAACGTATCGAAATAAAAACGGAATAAATCCGGGTTGAATGGGCAATTCAACGAAGATTTAACTTTTAAAGGTCGTCTAGAGATGAATGGACTCTTTCAATTATTTGTACAAAATGAAACTCTTAGTACTCAATTTCCTTGGAACTTAAAGATCAATGCAGCAACGCAGAAGAAAATCACATTTAAAGAATTGATCCAGCAACACTACATCTTTTAAAAAAAAAGAGCGGGGATGAAACAAAATGACGCAGTGACTATTTGCAGTGAAAACAGAATAGAATATTTCATTTCCGCAGATGGTGTATTTTCTTTTGGAGTTATTTTAACGTATATAAATAACAAATATAGTATTGGTACGTAAGTAATCAGAAAATTTACAAGTAACTAAGTGGCCATAAGCATAAATTCATGGTTGGCTAAATCTAATTTGCCAAATATATATTAAAATATATTAAAACTAGTCGTTTAGGCAACTATTATACAGCTATATAAGTCGTCTTATATAAACAGTATGGCAAATGGTTAATAACAAATAGAACACAAATTATGTTATTTATTAGAGCTACACTATGAGTGATAACGAATTTTTAAATGGCATATGTTAGTCCAAGTTGATCAGTAAGCTCAAAGAATATTTTAACAATTTAAAACTTCTCTGAAGAAAAGTTTAAAAACGTTTTTCTACTTCAGTTTCTCTATTTGTATTTCCGATGAGCTCAAACGTTTTCTTAGTTTATCCAAGGCAAAACACATATTTCTTTCGCCGGTACTTACAAGAAATATTACCAAATCTTAACAAACCTTAAACTTTTGAGAAAACAATATTGATACTTTATAAACTGGGTAAGCAATTAAATTTGTATGTATGCCTGAATGTAAAACTAGTAAAAATTAATGCGTTAATCTAAGTGGTGAGTAGTCATCTAATGACTAATAAATAGATTAAGCTTAAATGAAAGGAAAAATATTGTTTCCAGTAGTAATACCTCTTATTTTATTTTATCGGGGACTACTATGATACATATTCAAATAATTAACTTTTCGGACGATTTCCAAAAATCAAATACTTATTGTATTACATAATGACCGAATCGAAAGAAAGAGAAATCACACTGGGGACAGATAGCAACAAAGGAAGAGCCGTTGGAAAAAATATTCCCGGAGCCATATTGAAGGTCTGAATTTCTTATTTTGCCAACTCGGTTTGATTTCTCCTATATTTTTTTTTCAAATGTATAAAAATGATTGTTATTTCTAAATTTAACTCATTTGTTAACTGTTCAATTGTAAGTCATCTGGTTAGTATTGAGTATTGTTAGGTATGAAATAAACAATAACGTTTGATAGGTTATTGCTTATATTTGTCGCCATATTTGTTTATCAAAGGCGTCAACACAGGTAAAGTCTTGATTTTGTGCGGCCACTTATACAATTCCTTCCAATACAATATATTTATTAGTCCATTCAAGTGATCCTGACTAGGCTAAATTTATTTCTAGGAAGCTTTTCTTTTTCTGCTAATTCGTTGAAGTAATAAATTTTTTATGACATTGATTATATCGTTAAATAAAGAAAATGTATTATTCCCTTTCCCATTTTTGACACATCACAAATAAAAATGAACACAAAAGAAGGATTTTTTCCAAGACGAGAACAAATATTTCAGTCTTTATTATTACTTTCAGATAGTTGACGTAGAAACTCGTAAAATATTGGGTAACGGCGAAACCGGAGAAGTTTGTGTGAAAGGACTAGTTCTGTTCGATGTCTATATTGGAAAAGATTCTAAAGACGATTTTGATGAAGACGTCTTCTATAAAACTGGTGACATCGCATACTACGACGAAGATGGTTACTTGTACATAGTCGACAGAATTAAAGAACTTGTCAAATATTGAGCTTCAGAGTATAGTAGTATATACAGTGAAATGTTAGTTAATTATTTCTTTTATTTCGATGAGACAAAGACTTTTCCTTTAAAAAGAAATAAATTTATTGCAAAATTTTTAGGGGTTAGATTTTTATTTAGAACAAAATATATCTTAAAATTACGATGCCATAAATTCTAAGCTCACAAATATTTTAATTTAAAAATAGACAGTCGAAGATAATATTGCTCCAAAATCTCTCGTTAAAGAGAAGTAAATGTAAATTTATTAACTATTCAGTTTTATTTTTATATTTTAGGCTGCGTCTTGTGAGGAAGAAGCCTTGCTATAACGACTTCCTGCTGTAACCGATGTTGGTGTAACAGGGACACGGATGTTCTTGTTAGAGAATGAACTACCGCTTTTATTGTAAAACAACTTAGGATACACGTTACAGAGTCTGATATCATTAATTACATCGATAACAAGGTTGGTAGTATTTACAATTAATTGGCTGTATATACAACCACAAATAAATCAACCACCAGCATATTCACTCAAACACGCATCGCCACAGCCTTGCAGCAGTTAGTTATACGACTTATGTCATTAAACTCTACTTTCAGTACCGTTCCAGCTATACTGAGATTAATAAAATAGTTTGGATTGTGGAAACACTTGTTAATCAAACAGAAATCTAAAATGCTTCATTTCGAAAACATTGAAACTAAATGTTTTGTGTACATAATGCTACACTTCAAAAAAAATCCTTTCTGGCAGCTATAGCGCAGAGAAAACTTAAAGTTTATTTTCTCTGGAGCTGGGAATATAACACTACAATTTTCGTATGCTAAAGACTGGATGTGGAGCACTCGAGCTCTAGACAGCCGCAGGACTAATAAAGTTGTATGTTCACAGGCAGATGTCACCGTGGAAAAGGCTACGAGGCGGTGTGCTTTTCGTGGGATACCGTAAAATAGACAGTTGAAATTTTCACAGATGATGTATTTCTGTGGCCACTATAAATTGATTTCAAAAAAATACAAAAAAAGTGAAAAAAAAATAAATAAAAATAAAGTATCGTTTGTATTTAAGTGGGGCATAGCCCATACAACATCAGATCTAATGTCTGTCTGTCTGTTTGTCCATCTGCCGTTTTTTATAGACGTACGACTCCCATACAACAGATCGTACATGTCGACATGTACGGAACCGTTCGTGCGCGAGTCCAACTCGCTCTTGGCCGGTTTTTACATCATTCACACAGTATAATACATTCCAGTATAAAGGGAACGCATAGAGAGCTAAGTAATGTACTGTACGTATACAATACTTTGAAAAAAAACATAGGTGTTTTTTTTTATAGCAAAGACCCAGCTAAAGGAGTCCATTAAGTACTCACCAAACTGCATAAATTGAAATGCTCTTATACCTAATGTCACAATATACATCATATCATATTTATATAAGAACACCTAATTTTTTAATGGTTGGCAACACATTTGCAACCCGTCAGGTGTTGTACATACCCATGGGTGGCGGTAATCATTTAACCAATAAAGTATGATGTTCTAAATAGCGTACAAAAGCCATCACTACTAAGAAATTTTTTCAATAACAGTCTGTTTTATTCAACCTTAACATTGGCAGAATCATCGAGCTATGCTTGATGGAGCCACTATAATAAAAAGAAAAAAAATAATTTTACCTCAGGCGATTGATATTATATTATTATTTTTTTCTTTATTCTTTTCTTTTTATAAAACATTGCCCTTACTTTAGGATAACATTATTCTGTGTTGTAGGGACGTTTTACAAACATAAACTTCACATGAACAAACACCCAGATGCAAAACAACTATTTGTGGGTCACACAAATAGTTGTCCCGTGTGGGAATCGAACCCACGACCCCCGACGCTGAAGCCTTGGCAACGGCGCCACGGTGTCATCAATCAATTTATGCTAGAACTATTGTAGTAATCAAGTGAGATAGAAGTAATAAACCGATATTGACCTATACTCATTTTATTTTATTTATTTATTTAATCTATTAAAGATTACACTTAAAATTGTACAAAGACGCGCTTAATGCCATATTGCATTAGCTAACAGCTTACCCTAGGTAAAACAGAAAGAGAGCAGTAAAGCAGAATTAAAGTGTATGTTGTAACTGTGAAAAGGTTCTAAAATATTCGAGATTAAGTTCGTACAGCCAAAACCAATATTTACTTAAAACATTCGCCACTAAGTAAATAATTTTATTTGGCAAGCCCATATTTTTTTAATTAAAACTTTCAATTTTTAATACTCGTTTTAATAAATTAAAAACAAAACGTAATTGTGTGACGAACGATTACTACAAAATAGTGTTTACTTAGAGCAATATGTAAACTTTAAGTTTCTTAGTAAATAGTCCTTTGTAAGCCGATTACAGCCGTCTACTTGCCAATGCCTGTTAAGTCGTATGTCAAAAGCTTTTTGTATTTTTTTAAGATTAAAAGTTTTTATTAAATTTGTGTCGTTCAAGTTCCGACGCTAATCCTGATCGAAGCAAATATTTTACCATTAAATTTTATTAAAGCAATATAACTGTTGTGAATTGTACATACAATTCTATACACACAATCTATACATATAATATTATAATCTTTACTAGTTGTGCTTTTACATGTAAGAAAGTATATTAATTATGTACATTTGTAAAAAAATATTTTTCAACTAATTTGGCTGCGTCAATTAGCCATTGATATGGAGAACAGCAAAGCAAGTTAATTAATTAGGTCCATTCGTAAAGTTTTGTCACAAAAGTTATCTCCGTTGGTCGGGCTTTACAACAAAAGCGTAGTATAAGCAAAGCTTTTACAGCACGTGTGCACCGTCACACAAACCGACACGTTATATGACGGTAAACATTTACCTTTCAATGCCGCATTCACTCTATCCAGATCGTAAAGCGACAGTGGAAGTGGCTCGTTCAAGAGCCGAAGCCGCAACCGCTTCTCACCATTAAGGCCTCCGTAAAAACCGTCGCTCAAAAATATACCCGACGAGTGTCTATAAAGTTTGTAGGCGCAATTGTTCGTTCGGAGCCAATCGACAAACACTATCGCACCGTTCAACGTGCGACCGTCTCCTAGTGTAACGTGATTTCTCAAGTCGTCCACGTCTCCTTTCATAATCGTGCGTATGTAAAGTTTATATGTCATGTATACTTTGACATAAGGCTTTTCGCCCCGCTTCATCTTCCTCACTCTGAGAACTCTAGCAGTGAAAACATATTTCGATTCAGACACCGCCGACGACAGGATCTCGTAGTCATTAGTTATCGTCTCGTTTAAAACACATTTGGAGCCATTTGAGTTTTTCTTGCGGTTGAACGTGTCGAGCTTTTTCATCGCTTCATCTATTTGGGTTTTTAGATGTGCGTTTGTGATACAGAGAAGGCATAACACGAATATTTGTAGCTTCATCTTCGTATCGATCTGTCGCAAACTATAGTATTGATTAACTGCAAAGCTCGGGAAAATATTCCAAAACACGATTTGAACACGGAATTGCGCAAGGTCCGACTTGGCGCCACCGAGACGGGTGCGCGAGGGCAATATCACGCTCACACTGGGGCCTCGCAATTCTATGCAACCTTCGTCGAAGTAAACAAACTTGGCCGTACGTTAGACTGAGCTGCCCACTACTGTCAAGAAATCACCCAATTAAGTTGCGCGGCAATTTACCTAAGGAAACTTTAACTTTATGCTAAGGTTACGTCAGCGGCATGAACTTTAATACACTTTAAATTTCCAATAATAAAAATCTACATATGAAATTTGTCATCAACGAGCTACGATTACGTCAATAAGTAACGGTAACAAGTGGTGAGTGTCAAATCTAAATCTGAAATAGACCATAGCTGACTTGCCAAAGCTGAGTCGCTGTACAATCGATGTTTTGATGGGTCAGCGAGGAGGGTAACCGCAGGGGAGAGATAATACTCGGCAGCACAATATGGCGTAAGTTAACAGTTATTGGCGAGGCCCGCCGCCTTACTCTGAATATTCATGTTAGGACGCCTATCGGCAAACGTTCCGCCACTTTATATCGGCTGGCGAATGTCTTCTGATAAAAATGTAATATATCAATTAGTGAATAAATTCACTTTGTATTACTAATATCTAGTTTCGCAGGAAACACTAAGTTTTAAAAGTAAGTTTTTTACTCTTTTAATATCAAAAATTGAAAAAATATAGGTATTTTTATAAGATAAAACAGGAGGAGGAAGTTAAACATTGTTTTTTTTAAACGTCGCCCTTACTGTAGAATAACATTATCCTGTGTTGAAAGAGCGTTTTACAAATATAAATTTGACGTGGACAAACACTCAGATCTGAAAAAATTATTTGTGGGTCACATGTCATAAACGCTAGATTTGTATTTATACACATAGCATTATTTATAAGTATCACTGTAACTTAGTTGGAATGTCTTCCGTTACAAATTCGAGTCCAAGAGAATCCGTTTTCGAGAAATTCACTTTGAACAATTGATCAACACCTAACCGAAGTGCGGTTGGACCTAAGTAACTTCTGCAGTTACCGTCCGAAATGGACATTCCCTATTGCAATTAACTATTAATATAACTGGCGATTCTAAATATAAAATCTGGTCTAGCAGAATCGTTATATCGAATTTAAAGTCCACATTCGAACAATAATAATCCAATATAGCTTAATACACGCATTAAGAATTATACACAGATATAACATTACGTTTAAGTATAAATCAAAATGCGAGAAAACAATAATTACAGATTAATAAATTTGATCCGCGATTGTCGCATGACGTCTACGTAGGTGATTGCAGCTTACACAAGGAATTTGGAAAGTGGTACGCGCGTGGGCGGGCGAGTCGCGGCGCTGGTTTCTGACGAATCTTCAACGTCGCACTTTATTATTTTATAGCATTTTTCATAGGCACTAGTTTATTTATATTCTCTCGCGTCGGACCAAAAAAGAGTAAGTATAAGTAATCTTATCGGACGCATAAATCTAATCAGAAGATGCGGGAGGAATTTTAAGAGTCGATTCAATAATATGTTTACGATTTACAACGATCAATAACGCAAAGCATGCTATAAAAACTTCAGACCTAGTATAGAGCAGTATAATACTAAGCATAAATTTTCCTGTTTGATAAAAGGCGCGAATTATTTTCCTTTGTGTCATAATTAATAGAATCGAATCATCGTTGTAAAGTCCGTTTATGAAGCTTTTTGTAATTCGAATAAGAATTTATAATTCAGTAGAAAAGCTTTACGGAAGGCGTTCTTCGTAAAAATAAAAATGTCGAAGGAATTTCGTGAACTTTTTGTTTGTTTTTTTTTTTTCATCTGCACTTTTTATTTGACTCGTACCATTTAATACTTGAGGAAATTTGCTTCGTGTTTTGTGTTTTTTATGAAAAAATTATTATGAAACATTCTTTAAAATTAAAGATTATTACTATTATATTCTCTTTATTTTCGCCTCATCATGGTCAGCCATTCTAATGGTATCAACATATTAAAAATTTCTGAAGTTATAGACTTTTATTATTTAGGCCGTTTATAAAATCGTACAGATACAAACAAACCATTATTTATCTGGATACTTTCAATATCCTTTAAAGCTTATTAAGCCGATTAAATGGCCGGCATCTGCAATTGTCGAGATTATCTGCAAATATTCTCACGAACAGTGCAAGGTATCCCAATAAGTAAATAAAAACTTTTCTTTGTCATATACTTTATTATTTTAACTCGTAATTGCCTTCGTTTTGAACACTATATTGAATTTAAATGATAATTCGTCTAGTTATCAAGCAGGTACAGGTAAACATTATAGAGGTTTATCTCATTAAACACGGAAGTTTCATCAATAGGTCGCCGGTAGATGAATATATTAAAAATAGCTCAAACATAATGATCACGATAGAGACATAAATCTTCTACCTCCATACAAGAATAAGTTACGATCTGACGAGAGAAAAAATGTAATTAAAAATTATGACTCGTCCGCTATAAATATTTTACGAAGTAAGCCATATTAGCAACGCTAACGGATTACGTGGGGCATGTGATGTTGCAGTGAGACGAGAGATTTGCTGGCGGTACACGATTTAGATTTGTGCCGGATCTCCTTGTTTAATCTCTTATTTAGGATGTGAATTTATTTTGTATTCGACTTTTTAATGAAATTATTATGTAATATAATTTCATTTTTATTGGGGGCGGATTTAATAAGGCTTACCAAATACGTAACATTTACAGATTTGACACGATATGATACTTTCATTTCTAAACATTTATGCATATAAGTATTCAAATTACAAATTACAACATTAGTATGATTAATGCAAAATAAAATAAACTAAATTAAAATAAAACTAAGTTTTACGGGCAGAAACTATTACGTGAAGCAAAGATACTGTATGCAATATTGTATTTTTCTTTATATTGTTCTGGAAAGTTGATGGGAATATAAGTTATTATATATTATATTACATCGTCATTTTCTCTTGTAGCTTAGTATGCGAGCTAGGAACAACAGCTTAGTTATGTAGATAATTTTAAATAAGCAACTCACATTAAAGATACAACATATTAATCATGCGTCGGTAAATTAAATAGAATCTCCTTTTTTTTTAATGGAAAAAAGTGGCAAACGAGCTGGCGCCTTACCTGATGTTAAGTAATAACCGCCACCCATATAAATTTGCAACACCCGTAGTTTTGCAAATGCGTTACCACCGTTAAATACTTTATTTAACGGCCCCGGCTACCTCACTCAGAAGACGAAACGCATAAGTGTAACACTTCTACTTTACGCCAGTCTTCTATGAGGTCGTGGTAACTACCCGGTCGGACCTGCCTATTCGTGCAACTGTTGCGTGGCCCTACCACAGTTAATGTAATACATAAAATTCTCTTGTCACTGTGTTTGTAATGAACTCCTCCGAAACGGCTGGACCGATTTTCGTGAAATTTTGTGTGCATATCGGCCATTGTGGAGAATCAGACAATATCTATTTTTCATCCCCCTAAATGTTAAGGGTAGTCCACCTCAAATATTTTTTTCCACCCTAGAAATTCCTTAGAAATTATTTATACCACAAGACAACGTTTGCAGGGTGAGCTAGTCTTCCCTATAATATTAGGAAGGAGTAATATAGCGGGAGTTTTACGAAGAGATTCTTTAAAATAATAATAAATAACACAAAATTCTGTTTTATAATAAACTTAACTATAATAGGATTCTGTTTCCTTTCCTCTCCTAGATAGATATAAAATTTTTTCACAAGACTCTAACTATCCATCATTTATTCATAAGTCGTTCATGACAATTTGTATCGAAGCATACAAATTGTTGAACATCCTTAACGATTGCCGTATCGTTAAGGACTTTGAAAATCAATTAATGATTAGATCAACGAAAAGTAATAAACCGAGACAGTCCTCTGCGACTGGCCTTCTGGCTCAAATAAGTCCAATTCTCGACGCCCCCCCATCAGATGGCTTTAAACCGTAGTATGGATTGGGCGAACCGAAAATCTCGAACTGTCGCGGCCTTCGACGTGAACAGACAGCTTGCGTGAGCGTCCCCATTGTTCCTCATATTCGGCAACGTGGTCTTCACTTAAACGCCTCCGCGGTGATTGATACGAAGACGCGCGTCGGCGTTGGACGGGAACAAACGCACTGAGCACTCGCCCCATTACCTTAACGAAAGGTTGTCGAGACGTCGATCAGGACCACATCTCAATGCCCGCCGCCGTCGTGCCTTATGGATAAACACCCACAAGTTATTATAATTCACGCGAGGCGGTCTGCATCGGCGTCGCTCAGAACCGTTCTCGTTGAATGCGATTCTGGTTTCAGAGTACCGATGTGTGGGCCTTTTTGTTTTCATTTTTTTTTTTATTTTAATGTGATGATTTCGCGTTTAAGATACTTTTTTTTTCTTTTCTCTCTTTGCAATATTAACAGCTCCCTTTGAGATAAATAACTGTTCGTAAATATTATTTATTTATATCAAGCAAGCTCCACATATTTTAGGTTAAACTAATCGAGTTTGTAAGTTATAAATATACATTTGTTTTGGAGTCATGTTCCTGAATGTAAAGTTTATATAAAACGTTTGTGTATATAAAGCGGGGGAGTTAGTTCCAATATCATGTGAAACAATAACATCACATATTACCAGAAAATAGTGTTGAATAATTTAGCGACATGTATGTGCTTAAACGATGTTAACATATTGCTGTTAACACAGTTATCAACTCTCGTTATCAGTTATCGACTCAAACGGACTCAAATAATGTATTGTGGTAGAGCAAAGAGTCAAAACTAAGATTCACATCCAATTGCAACAACACAAAGCCTATATACGGAAACCTTGGCTGGGAAACACAATCATAGATTCAATTACGAAGCAACCCAATCATCAGGCCGCGAGCACGCGAAAAACAATACTGCAAATATCCTTTCTCGTACTAAATCATTTCAGCTTACCTTTCACCGCGGCGTTGATTCTGTCCAAATGATACAGCGTCAGCGGTATCGGATCCGTTAGCAGTCGCAAGCGGGGCGTCGGCTCTTTCAGGGGCCCAACGAATGCGCCGTCGCTCAAGAATATCGCCGATAGACGTGGCCGTGGCGCCGGTGCACAGGCTTCCGAAGCTCTCGGCTTCTCCACCGTCAAAACCGAACCCCCTAGCGTCTCCTCTGCTTCCCCGTCGAACTTGACGAACGCCCTGAACTCGTCCAAATCCCCCTTGAGCACCCTCCGCAAACGCAACGTGTACAGATTGGACTTCCGGCCGCGCGACACACCGCCCGTTCTAAGCTTCTTCACGTTCAAAACCTTCGCGGTGAAAATAAACTTGGAACCGCCTATCGCTTCCATCAGCGACCACTCGTCCTCGATAATGGTGTCGTTAAAGTTGCACGGCGGCAGAACCGCCCGGTGTCTCCTGTGAGCGGTGTGCCTTTTTTTCACTTTGCCCCGTATCCGGATTTCGCCCCCGACGGCGATCGCCAGGGCGATAGCGCAAACAATGACCATTGAAGGCCTCATGTCGCTAAATCGCTGCTCGGACACGATATAATGCGGCTGATACAAATGCGGGTGTCACATTATGCAAATAATTTATGTCCCCACAAGCTTATAAGACGGCGGCGACTGTTTATTAAAGGAGCCATGCGTTGACATCTCACTAGCGGAAAACCATCAAATCGAACACTCAATTTGTCCAAGCGAACGTATCGTTATGCAAAGAATTACGACAATATTACACAGTACTGTTTAAGTTTTCTCGTGAGCGCGGCGTAGTGTTTATACTCACGCGAACGCCGCGACCGTGTTGGTAAACAAAAGTAGCTTTCCCGAATAGAATGTGTAGTGTCAAACGCGTGCGCACGCGCAGCCCGCCGGCACTGACTGAAGGCTGTCACGCCTAACCTCCCGTGAGAAATAAGGGAGCCGTTCTATAAAGTACGTAGAATTTATCTAGCAGCCGCCTTAATGGCGCTTCCAACATCTCGCTATTGGCTACAGACTCGAGATTAACGATTGAAGAGCAATGCATATAATACGACATGCTCACCAGCGCGATGCAAATACTTGATTGAATAAGGTAGCATCTTTTGAATAATATCCTGTATAACGTCATTCATTCCTTAGTCTGTCAAAAATAATAAGTCAGAAACGTTTAAGCCGGGAGCTCGGGCGGCCTTTTTTAATCTTTTGATCGAAACGGCAGCCAATAAATCGAAACGCGATAGCGGGAATTATCGAAAGGCATTCGCACCTGACCGAGAGGAAATTAAACGAGTATTAATAAGCGCCGAGACGGGCCCTGGTGGGAGAAACAAAGAAACGGACGATGGCAAATAAATCGTTGGGGGGACGTCGGCCGATGGCGACGCGTAAGACCCGATAGCGAGTGCTCGTGTAGTGGTGCTGTGCTTGTGAAAGCCCGCGATGCGTGCGATGCGTGGGCGGACTGGATGTGGCGCCGCGAACCGCTCGCTGGACGCACGCACAAGACACAAGCGCGAGCGATCCTACCTCTTTTAATCGTCATACAAAAGGACGCAAATTGTGTTACGATAATGAACGGTTACATATTAAATGGGTTTGTCAAATTCGGATTCGAAACCAGTACAAAGCACGAGCGATTAACATCCTCCATAATGTGACGGAGGTTTTTTGATCACGATAATAATGTAGGGCTCTGCAATTTGAATGGGCTTATGAAATATCTGAGGAATTGAGGTCGGAAGCCGTGAGTTATAGAACATATTTTTAAAGGAACGATATTGATATACAAATATTTTTTAGCTGACTTTAAGGTACGATTATATACATAGTAACAACGAAAAGTTACATAAGCTAAAGTAAATACATGTTTATTACACTGAATATAATTTAAAAATTAGTAGCACAATTGCTTCTAACAGTATTCAAGGTGATAAACAATATTTCTTACGTTTCGTTCTACGTACAGAATAAGTAGTAGTAATGATTACGGTGATTCAAAGGAATATTGAATTTTTTTTTTTTTACTTAAAACTGTTGTAAATTTCTTAACTTACACCGCCGCTTTAGTGCTGCCAACAAATCTTTAAGGCGTAATTGCAGCATGCCTAAGTTGATACAGAAACGTTGGGGCACAAAACGGGAATGTTATTGAAGCCGTTACAAACTACAACGCTAATAGCGAAATCTCGTAAAGGCTCAGGTGTTTGAGGTTCGTATAATTAACGTTTCATGTAAATAGTTGGAATACCATTGCTTAATACCACAAATATTAAATTACAGGCACTGATCTAAATGAGAATTCCTCATAATCAGTGCCATTAATTCAGAATTCATCACTGCTTTATTATCATTTCGGCAACCATGATGTTTTACGGTGGTAGGGCCACGCAACTGTGTTCGCTGTTGCCCGAACGGGCAGGTCCGTCCGGGTAAGTACCACGACCTCACAGAAGACCGACGTAAAGTAGAAGTATTGCACTTCTGCGTTTCGTCTGGTGAGTGAGGTAGCGGGAGCCCACATTATTAAGGGGTGGCAACGCATCTGAAACCGGGTGTTGCAAATGTCCATGGGCGTGCGGTTATCACTTAACGTCAGGTGAACCGCCAGCTCGTTAGCCACTTTCTCACATAAAAGAAACCATACAACGAAAATCAAAAGCCAATTTTCATGGTATCTTTTATCAGGTATTTTATTCGTTCGGGATTTAACGTTTTGTTCTAAACAAATGAACTGTTGTATACATCGCCACCTATATTAGGTTGACGAAAAGGGCTATTAATGACGTTTTAAAATTTGAAATATCCCTTTACTAAGTGCTGGTTCAAATTAAATAACTCTATTCCAAGTAATATTTTAGGGGCAATTTAAATGTCGGTAGTCTTTCAAGTTACTTGACACAGATGTGTACAGACTCATTACTGAGTGACTTATTGTAACAGAGATATGGCGTGAAATATTGGCGCTCAGCTACAACAGTGTTCGCTTAATTTTGCGAAATCAATTTTGCGCTTAAGAACAGCGAGAGTGCACACTTCCAGCAATAATTCACGTTTCTGGCGCACGCCCGGGTAATCCCGATTTAGTGAAACTATCACGCCCTGCTTAAATCACTCTGTCAAACTACAACAAGCCGCTCATTAAAACCGTACCCCCCTCAGTAAACTCCAACAGGGGTGCTGTTGTAGCCGACTAACTCAATTAATAGACTATCAGATACAAATGCAAAGTCCTAACTCAAATAAAAAAACACCAAGGCACTATCTTCCTTATCATCCTTATAATAGGACGAGAATTAACTTTGACACGGTTGGCGCTAAACGAGATCGAAAATGCAAATCGCCGCTAACGGTGGCCTTATTAAGAAAGCTTCCCTGTTTAAAATATTCCTTACTGAATAAAGGGGATAACCAGTAGCTTATCATCAGTTAATAGACATTTTCAACTGCAATTATCGTAAAGAGACATTGTCAGTTTCCCCGCCATGGTAAAGTGAACCTAAATTAATTCAAGCTCGGGGTGGGCTTATCGACTGTCTGATAAATATAACTATCTAGGAAGTCATAATACAATTAATGGTACGATAACGTATTACCTATCATATTAATTGTAACATGCTCTATACATTGTATTTTATGTATATACATATATATTTTATGGGTTATAAATGTATTTGAAGTAAAATAAGTATGTTAGTTTTAATAACGGTACGGTTGCCTTTTTTTTCATACACAGTTATTACGATACAAATGAATATTCGCAGGGAAGTGAGAATTAGGTGTTTAGAGGTCCCACGTAAATGTTTTTATTCTGTTTATTTTTAGTATGTGTTGTTATAGCAGCAACAGAAATACATCATCTGGGAAAATTTCAAAGTTCTAACTATCACGTTTCATGAGATACAGCCTGGTGACACGGACAGACAGACAGACAAACAGCAGAGTCTTAGTAATAAGGTCCCTTTTTAACCTTTGGGTACGAAACACTAAGAACATTATCACCATACTTTGCAAGTCCATTTATATTAACTGTCTTTTTGAATATAATGTACAGTTAAAGAAAAAGGGTTAATAAATAATGCACTAATGTTTCATCGATTGTCTAAATTAGACATTAAACGCTAATCTAGAGTTACGTTACACTTGTAACAAATTATTAGGTTCCGATTATGTTGACATAACTTACAATTTTATTTTCTTAACAATATAGTGAAGTAAACAATATTTTCAGGTTATGACGACGCAAAATTAATCATTCTAAGTGGTTAAAAAATAGCTTACGTTTACATATGCCTTAAAGCTATGATATTTTATGTTGGTTTTATAAGATTTTTTTTTTACTTTTATGTTGATATTTAAAGTCATTCCGTGATGTCTAAACTCTAATGTATCAATAGTGTAACAGACTGGAGCTTTTTACGATGAGAAATGTAACATTATAACAGCATTGTTTTGTTTTAAAAATTGATTCGCTGCTGGCTAATTATTTTTATTTATTTAATTAAATATTTTATAATTTAATTATTAATAAAATAACTTACTTACTTATAATTTTTTATATATAATTAAATATATTATAATTAAATATATTATACTTTAATTATTACTTGGTAAAATTGCGTCCGTAATATAAGGCATGCTGTTGACTTACGACTACCTGGTTGAATCCATGGTTCCGTAATTACCAAAAAAAATTGATAAAATATTAAGTTAAAGGATGTTTGTACTGTTTATAAGTTTCTGTACAAGTATCTGTGTTATTAAGCTGGGAATACTCGAAACCTTTTTCGATCTTATCGCGTAAGCATTTCATCGGATATGGGACCAACGGAAAAAGTGAAAGTCTTGACTCGACAGAGTTCAATAAATAGTGAAGTAGTTATTTAAATAATGTCAGGTTTATGGTCGGAGGAACAGGGAGAAGGCATTATTAAAAAACATAACAAGTAGTTGAGGGATAGTGCCCAGTCTAAATATGGACATCGTGTTTATAAAATCACGGATTTAAAGGTTGGCGCGCCAATCATTAGTTTCAAACCTTTTAATTGCCACGATGAAAGATTGATAGGTTTTGCCTAAAAAAGCGCCGTGGGTTCGATTCATCTCCGAGAAAAGTATGCGTATGAATAGCAATTAAAGTCTACATGAGGAGAGTATCTTATTCTACAGAAATTATCTACAGGGGGTTGAGTAAAATAATAAGAGTATCTTCAAAATCACTTTAAGTTCGTATACATTTATTCCAAATTCGAATTATTTAGTCAGTAGTAGAAACCCAGTTGCAGGCAAAACTAGCTCTTGTGAACGTCTACGAATCCCGGCACAAAGCCGTGATTATTGCGTATCGAGAGCGATACATAATACGCACGCTCCGATTTCAAATAAAAGCTGAAACAGTCACCTTTGTAAGCCGCTTTCGATTTACGCGCCGCCGGCAAAGCCCGTACGGCTGAATCGAGCGAACGGCGGCGGAACACGGGTAAAACGCTTTCACACCATGGCCCGCACCTCTCTGCCGCATTAAAAATAGCGCCCGC